TCTTTTGCTAGTAATAGTAAATTATAGAATTGTTTGATAAATTTTTAAAAATTACTAACAAACTAAATTATTATAATTGTTTAATAAATTTTTAATCATTCACAAAGGAATTATATATTACGATTCTTAAAGACATCTACTCAGAAATCTACAGCATAGTTTATAACCTAACTTAAGTCTGACTGAAATCCAGAAACTGTTGAAAGGGAAGAATGAATGTATCTTGGGAAATGGATGGGAATATGTATCCGTGAAACTGAACTCGCTCTATCCATTATGCATCAAGGACTATGATACATGCGCGGGTGCTGTCGTACACGCGTTAGTCAGAGTATAACGCATGCATGTAGTACAGACATACATCTGTGTATAGTGTAGAGAGACGCGTATCTGCCACTCGAGGCTCGTTAAGTCGGCCGGCGCGGCCGCTAACGAATTCCAATTAACACCGTGAAACTTAATTACGACCGTTTTTCAGCATCCTGTTTGCGGACATCTGCGGATTCACCTCGCTGTCCGATCAATGCACCGCCGAGGAGGTCGTCAGATTATTAAATAAATTATTCGCCTGGTTAGTCGTCTCATCCGTAGACTCCTCAGTCGCTTCGCAATTATTTTTCACTAATTAAATCTGCCTCGTGAAATTCGCGAACCGTGTCAGGCAACCAGTCAACCGATATTTTATATTCAGATTAAATAAANGTACAGGAAATACTATACAATCACATTTTAAAAAATGATAATGACTTTCATATCTCTTTTATGTATGCATCCACCTAGAAAATAACTCACATCAGAATGTGCCTCTATTGAGACCATTCCTTGCTATGTACATGTGTAGATTGATAATGACGATAATCGAATTGGTCACATCTAATGAATCATCCTGTATATTTCTCTGCCGGTAGTTTTTAATCAGTTTTTTTTTTACTGTTCCTATTGGGAAATTTGGTAGAGGCATAATGATTGGGTTAAATTGGCGCAGGTTTGATACACTGGCGGCGGAGCATCATTGCTTGCGAATCAAATTGCTCGGAGACTGCTATTATTGCGTTTCCGGGCTACCGGAACCGAGGCCGGATCACGCGCGTTGTTGCGTGGAAATGGGTTTGGACATGATCAGCGCGATTACGTGAGTCTTCTTCTGTGTACCGTTAATTTCGCATGCCTAGCCTTTGTTCAAATTCAAATTAGCCATTTATAAACAAGCTTTTATTTGCATCCACTGTTCGCTGGTTTCATTCCTCGCCCATTTATTAGTTTTCCTAATTCAGATCATTCGATAATAGCAGAATTAAGTATAGTAACATTTAAAATGTATT